TTAAAAAAAAAAAAAAAAAGTCTGTATAATACCTTTTGCAAAAATTTGAATATGCCCTGGATATTAGGTAATATTACGGAATTATGGCTAATTTTATTAGGTATGATAATGTCATGATAATGTAGATTTCCATATTGTTATGCGATGCATGATTAAATTTATTATAGGTAAAATGTCATGATGTCTCCAACTTACTTTTAAATAATTCAGCAAAAATAAAATGTAATCTGTACTTAAAGAGAGGGGAAGCACATATGGCAACAGGTTAAATGTTGCTGACTCTCAGGTAGAGGGTATATAGGTAGGGTATTCACTGTACTATTCCTTCAACTTCTGTGTATGAAACTTTTCGTAATAAAAAGTTGAGGACAGCTGGGCCGGCGTGGCTCAGCAGTTGAGCATGGACCTAGGATCCAGGAGATCAAGGTTTGATTCCAAGTTAGGGCACATGCCCAGGTTGTAGGCTCGATCCCCAGTAGGGGGTGTGCAGGAAGCAGCCGATCAATGACTCTCTCATCATTGATGTTTCTGTCTCTCTCTCCCCATCTCCCTTCCTATGAAATCAATTAAGATGTGTTAAAAAAAAAAAAAAAAAGGTTGGGGACAAAGGACCTCATGACCAAGCCATACACAGATCATTATAAGAAAAAGGTACTAGAACAATCTATTTTGGAAGAAAAGAGTAATTATTATAGCATCTTTAGAATATGCTAAGAATACAAGATAAAAAACATGAATGTGTTTCTAACTTTTGCCATAACTTTACTAGTCACATCTTTCCACTGAGAATGGTAAAGTATTTTCACATGTAAATCATCAATCTTACCCAGAGCCTCTGAAGATTTATCATTCATTTTACAAATAGCCTCTGCAAATGGAATCACCAGGTTCTGCCAGTTGTTAAAATCATGCATCATGGGACACTCTGGGAGAAGGAAGAATATTTCTAAAGCTTCTTGGTGGGGAGAAAGAAATGGAAGATTTTTGAGCAGATAATCCCTGAGACATGTGGTTATCTGTAGTAAAAGAGGATCAGGGAGAAGACAGTCAAAACACAGCAGGAACTGGGTGCAACTTATTGTAAATAAAGTATAGAACCTCAAGTTTCATTGCACCATGAAACTGGAATAATCATTTAGTCTTTCTAAAACCCATGTTCATACCCCATCTCACCTAGCCTCCCAATACCTGAGTATAGGTACGTGACAAGTATTGTCTCCATTCAGTTACTAGGGGTGCATGAAGGAGATGAAGAAGAAATCACATGTACAAGAGTTATCCTGGAGGAACAGCAGATTCAGAACTAACAGGCAGCACTCTCAATAATAAATACTACATTGCACCAGGTTCCACTATCACACTTCATTTTTTAAAAGAGGAAGAATGTGTTAGAACCCCAAAAAGCAAAACAGAAATAAAACCCAAAATAAACAAAAAGTAACAACTGCAACAACAAAAACCAACATGGTTTCCTATTATCTTCTCATAGGACTTCATCCCCCACCCTCTGCACCACAAACTCTAGTTTCTAGTCCTTCCAATCTCCTTAGTTTCTCCAATTCAGAATGCAAGCGTTCAGGGGAAAATTCAAATGCAATTCTGAATTTTTATTTGTCATGTGTGCTCAGATAATAAAAATAATTAGTTTAAAACCCCACTAAGACAATAAGCTAGTATTTATGGAATATTTATTTGTCAGCTGCTAAATAATTCACATGTATTAAACACGTCATTTAATTCTTATAGTTTTTCTATAACATAGATGATATTAACCCCCTTTTATAGATGACAAATCTGTACTTCAGAGAAATTAAGTTACTCAAGGTTACACAGCTAAGTGGGAATCTCTCCTGGATCTTTCAGCCTCCAAACTCCTAGTTCTTAATCATTAAATTATCAGACACTAGCTAAAAGGTAACTCTAAAATGTACACATTTTATAATTATCTTTTTTATATCAAAATATACTGGGCTCCTACGATGTGGTTGTGTTTGGAGTGACATATACCTCACAACTCTATTTAACGACGTGTCCACAGCACACATCCTTCCTATCTCTGTGCCCATCACCAGCCACAGCCCCAAACCTCCCAACCTACTCGGAATATTGCAGTGCTCTCATGCCAGTTACACTGTTTCCTGCACCTGACTTAGTGTACACTTTCCTCACTGCCAGAATGCCCTTCCCCATATAGGCACCTGGAAAACTTCTACATCCCCTGGGCACCTTGTTTTGAGTGCTCTAAGTAAAGGTGACTACCCACTGCCCTAGTAATGACTGAATTCATTCATCCAAAATATTTATTACACACCCACTATGTTCTAAGTTAGGCATCAGGGGAGACAGTGGCTGGAAAAACACACCTAGTCTTCCCATTAATAGCTCCATGAAGGTGTCTGTGTGCTGAACTAAGCCATGACCTAAGGGCAGGGAGCATATCTCTTTCATTGTTTATCAGGAGTCCTTATCACAACGCCCTGCACATAGCAAATATTCAAATATTTGTTAAATGAATGAATGCCAAGTCTGTGAATCCCTATCACAGAAATCTCAGAACAGAAATATTACAGGTCTTCTGACCCAATTATCCTGTTTGAAATAATGGAAGATCGCTCTATGATTATGAAGTTGCACCTTATGATATTTTTCTGGCACAACTAAGGTATAATTAGCCTTGGTGATGAACTGATCCACCCTCTTTCCTTCACAGATGCAGAAATGGCATTTTTGGTGATCTTTCCATTATGTACTGCAGAGTCCTGATAAAGGTGCACAATTAGGGATCCATTTTACCTCAGATCCCTAAATGGACCATGGCTCTGCCAAAGTGAACAGAACTGAACTGTCCATCTTCCACTGAGATGCAGAAATGTGCGTGAGAGAGAACCTGCAGCTGAGATACAGAATGCTGACTGCTGCAGACAGGACAGCAGAGCAGGCGAGGGAGCTGAGGGGAGGGAGAGAGAGGAGAGCAAGGCTGGGAGGGAAAGAGAATGAGAGATACAGAAACAGAAGGAAA